ATACCGACATCGATCACCGACACTCGATGAGGCGGTTCGGTATACAGCCCTACTCTAGACCTACGAGCGAATTCAGATGGAATGAATTTCTCATACAGTAACATTTTCCCCGAGGCCTGACAAATTAGTTCAGCAGGAAGTTTGGCATGGTTTTTAGAAGTGAATACCCATAACTTAACAAGCGTCTTCACTACGCCAACGCAGACTAGATGAAGGTAGTCAAGAGGAAAGTCATTAATAAAGTCTATACCAGGTATTCTAAGCAAAGGCGAGTCACCCAGGTGAAATTGAGGAACAGTTTTGTTAATAAAATCTTCATGCGTTTTCAAACGTGCATCAACTTTTGGGAAGAAAGTCCTTCGACAAAGATGAGACCATTCACCTTCTTGAACGCATTTGGTACAACCATATTTGCCATTACTGGCAATAGAAGATAACACAAAAGATTTTGCAGGGCAGTCGCAACTAAAACCTTTCAAAATAAAGTTGTATACATTGCCTTTAAACTTTACTCCATTTTTAATCAGATCTGTAACCTCATCAATGAATGGACTCAAGAATTCCTCCGCGTCCTGCGGTTTATCAGTATCTCCACAATGAATAGCAATTGGGAAAACGTGATGGCGCAGATCCGGAATTAAAATTATTTTCCCGAGAATGGGAGTGAAATGTACGCCACTACTCTTAAACAGTGGTAGACCATTAATGCCCGTTACCATGGCAATGTTCGTGACTTTCTCTCGAGTTCGTTCTAGGGCGTTTTGAATGGCTTTCAATAATCCAAAATGATAATACTCGCCACCTGCTTTCTCTAATTTCTTAACATTTACATGACGAGGTGTTTTCATTACGGTTCTACCATCCAATGGTAAAGTATGAAGTTCATTTGGATCAGAAGATTTTAAAATTCTAAGCAACGCAGATAAAGCAGCTTTCGTAATTTTATACTTTACTCCCCAGATCCGCAAGTTATCTAATAGACTAGGTATAGGTACGTCAATATTTTCCTCAAACAGATCCGCTCTATCACTATCTAAATCAGAGAATTCATCCCAATCAGAGTCAAAATTTACAAAACTTGCATCTGAATCGGACGATTCGTAAACTGAATGCAGTCCTGGGGAATCTCC